TATTATATATTTCGGCCGTGATAGCTCAGTGTCCGGGCGCTCGCCTTTAATTCAATATACTCGAGCAACCTGAGTTCGATCCCCGGTGCCGGCACCAATGAAGTTTTTGACTTTAAGTGCTGTCTTATCACGTGCTCCGCGGTGAAGGAAAACATTGTGAGGAAACCTGCATATTTTCGAAATAATAACAAAAAAATAATATTTCGAAGATATGTGAAGTCCGCCAATCCGCAGTGGGGCCGCGTGGTGGACTATGCCCTGATACCCTCTATATAGAGGAGGCCTTTGCCCAGCAGTGGGACATGTATGGGCTGTTACTTTACTTTTACTTTTTACTTTATACATTTTCAAAAAAAAAATAGGGATCCTTACTAAAACTTCAATAATGTAACCCAAAGTGTACAATAATTACCAAAAATATTCTTTACATCGCGTGCGCTGCGAAAACTATTGATGATAGAATAAAATAATGTACTACGACTTTGCAGAACACATCATTATTTACAAAAAGTGTCGGGACAGCATATGTGTAACTATTATGGTTATGCCACAATAAGTGTTCTTTTATTTTAAAATTTTGATTGAAATACCGCCGCTAGAAAAGGCTCTTTATTTGTATCTTGGTATTAATCCTTATAAAAATAAATTACTTCATATTTAAGACTGTTTCAATATCTTTATATAACTTTTTGAATTACTAAATTCGGACATTCCATTCGAGAGATATCACAAGTTTAAAAATGTTAGTATATTGGAATTTAACTATCGAACAGCTTAGTGACTGACTTAGCAGTTCTTATAATTTTTCAATGTCATTTATACTGGAAATTCCTGTTCGATAGTTAGCATATTATTAAATACATAGGCAGTTTAATTTTTTTTATCATTTTAAAGATCTCATCTTTCTAGAAATAGTTTCCAGGCGAGGGCATCAAAAATACGTCGTAATGAGGAATCTTTACCGGAAACTGAAAATAGTCTTAAAAGTCGGAGAGAGTCAAGTAGTGTTTGCAGCGGCTTGAAGAGCATAATAATATAAATATACAAATTCACACTAGGGAGTCGAGTTCTGACCGTTCCCAACGCCTACGAGATTAGAGGGAAAGACAACAAACGTCTACGATTAGAGTTCGTAATCGACTTTTAGCTCACAGTAACAGATCAGCTTTGAATGCATTAAGCTCAACAGTCTTTTGTCCAAATCGGAGCCATGAATAAGATCTGCTCTAAGTGTTCTGCCAAAAAATGGGTCGATTAACCAAATGGTATGTGCTGTGCTTCTGGAAAAGTTAGTCTCCCCAATATTGAGGAGCAAAAATGTGATGATTTATGTCTGAAGCTATGGGAGACCAGACTTATTTGCCACTTTTACGTGTAACCCCGAATGTCCCGTAATTAAAGCGGAACCATTATCTGGTCAGCGATCTTTCGATCTTCATAACGTAATTACAAGGATATTTCATTAAAAGATTAAGAAATTCATAAAATTATTCACCACAGACGAAACATTCGACGGTTTTATGTGTGTGTATGATAATTTTTATTTTTTTAATTTTTTGTTAAACTTATTATTACCCGTGCGAAGCCGGGGCGGGCCGCTAGTTGTGAAATAAAGCCCACGATGCAAAATTATATGTCTATTTTTTCATTTGAGAAGGTGGCAAGTGCGCTAGCGGTTTACCTGATGCTAAGTAATAAATGCCGCCCATGGACATTAGCAACACCCGTAAGGTTTCAGATGCATTGCCACCTTTTAATTAAGTGGGCCCCGATTGCCTCATTCACCAGACGAAACGCAGAAGTACAATACGGTACTTCCCCGGACGGACCTGCACATTCATGCCACAGTCACAGTGAAGACCGTTGCGTAGCCCTACCGCAGTAAATTGATCTATTTTTCTATACGTATGATCTTATACCTTTTATACAGAGTTGTCCAAACAAAAGACTTATGAGATATCAGCCAAATGTGACGATTCAATTTTGAAACCATGCAATGCTGTTGTTAAATTAACCAATAAGCCAACTGCAAATCCCTAATATTATAAGTACGGCCATATAACTAAGAGTTAATTTTATTTTCGTTCATCACAAACTGTCAATAAATTAATGAGGACAATTTGGCCTAAAGGACATCGTTTATAATTATTTCAGTTTTAGCGAATACGACGAAGCACGGAAACTGCTTTATTATAAATTTAAACCGAATCTCTCAGACGGTACGGAATTGGCATAGCATTGCACCCGACACGGGGAAATATTTAATTTCAAACAACACCTCCATAATTCACATCGCTCGCAGAGCTTCGATAACATTTTCAACGCGCGCAGGAATCGAATCGACGAGCTTAGTTAAATTGGAATGTTTGGTTTGATATTGTTTAAAACATTTCTCGTATTTTGCTGCGAAAATATGGATTCCGCGGCAAATTTGATTCGTATAATAGAAAAGATAGGAACTCGCGTATAGGAAAAGTTAAAATATGCACATTAAAATTTATCAAGTCCTCGAAAAGACGGTGGGCGAGTATTGCAGTCTATAACATCACAAAATAAGAAAAGCTACGAGTATTATATTGTGAAATGGTAATTACTCGCAATAAAAACATTTTTAACGATTCAATTATACAAAAAGATATACGCAGAAAAACTGTTAACATCAAACAGCTTTTACTAATATTGTAGACAGGTTTGTGCTGTTGTTGACCTTCATATTATAGTTTTTCCGTAGCCCCAAGAGGAGATAACTTACAGTAAATATTTGCATGACTTTAGTTTACGCGGATTATTAGTATATTAGAATCTAATAATTTTCAATTTTACTAAATATAAATTGCTCATGTCGTTACTTAGTACCTGGAGGACCAGTTTTTTTTTTTTTTTTGGTAAATCGTGTATTTTGGAAATTACATTTAGATACAAATGACTAAGTAATGAAATATGCATAATATGTTTCGATCTTACCGACGTAATAATAAGAAAATATGAACTGGTGTTTTTCACAAAAGAAAAAACTTTAAAAAAAAGGGAAAAAAATAACAAAATAACAAATCGACAAAAAATAAAAGATAAAGAAAGCAATGATCTGGAATCGAAAAAAAAGTAAAAATAATAAGTGTGTAAATGATCGTGATACGAACCACGGCCTTCTGTTTCGTGGCTGTTTGTTAGCGGCCGCCCGATTACCGACCGAGCTATTATAACATTTTTTTTTTTCGGTAAAATTTACCGTCGTATTCGAATAATATTTTTCATTCCCTGAAAAATGCGATAAAACGACATGTTCTAAAAATGAAACCTAGTCAGATCGATTTTTCGCCCCCGAATCTAAGCACATACTAAATTTCATGAAAATCGCTGGAGTCGTTTCCGAGATATATATATATATATATATATAGAAGAATTGCTCGTTTAAAGGATAGAGACCTGGGCGGTATTGCAGTCCCTCCAGCGACGTCATATCGACTATAGGTATATCGAAGTTCTGAAGTGTTTGTATAGAAACGCCACTATGTCCATCCGTCTACAGAATGAGGGCACGAAAGCAATCCAATTGCAGAGAGGCGTGAGACAGGGAGACGTCATTTCTCCGAAACTGTTCACGACCGCATTGGAGGATGCTTTTAAGCTCTTGGAACAGATTCGGCATCAATATCAGTGGCGAATACATCACTCACCTTCGTTTTGCCGACGATATAGTCATAATGGCTGAGTCGCTGGAGGACCTTAACACTATGCTCAGGGACCTCAGTAACGTTTCCCAACAGGTGGGTCTTAAAATGAACATGGACAAGACGAAAATCATGTCAAATGCCCATGTCGAACCCATACCAGTTATTGTTGGGAACGATACACTCGAAGTTGTCGACCATTATGTCTACCTTGGACAAACGGTCCAGTTAGGCAGTTCCAACTTCGACAAAGAGGTCACTCGAAGAATCCAACTCGGATGGGCAGCGTTCGGGAAGCTACGCGATGTCTTTTCGTCCAATATTCCACAGTGCCTAAAGACAAGGGTTTATAACCAGTGTGTGTTGCCAGCGATGACGTATGGCACTGAGACGTGGTCTCTAAAAGTTGGCCTATTGGAGAAGCTCAGAGTCACACAACGAGCTATGGAGAGAGCTATGCTCGGAGTTTCTTTGCGCGACAGAATCCGGAATGAGGAAATTCGCCGAAGAACCGGAGTCACCGACATAGCTCTCCGGATCTGCAAGTTGAAGTGGCAGTGGGCAGGCCACATCGCTCGAAGAACTGATGGCCGGTGGGGAGTAAAGGTTCTCGAGTGGCGACCACGAACCGGAAGACGTAGCGTTGGAAGGCCTCCCTCTAGGTGGACCGACGACATCATAAGAGTCGCGGGGAACCGGTGGATGCAAATGGCAAAGTGTCGTTCGTTGTGGCGTTCTAAGGGGGAGGCCTATGTTCAACAGTGGACGTCTTGCGGCTGATGATGATGATGATGATGATGAGTCCTGTCAAAGTCTGCCACCCCAAAGGATTTATAGATGTTCAAGGGTTCAATAATCACTTAACATCCTTTCAAAAGCTTATTTCTTTAACCAAATTTTCACATAAAATTTACATTTACAATTGCATAAATGTCAAGTAACATATAACAATGTTGTAACGTAGAGGATTATGTTTTTCCATATCTACATCTAGGCGTACATAAAATTTAATTAACGAAATAAATAAATTCAAAAATAGAAACACAACCATAAGTGTATTTAGTCAAGTTATAGGGAGCCGTGTAGAGATTTTTAAAAACTAAAAATAGAACTAGGAGATGCCTGTACAGAAGCTACTGTACTTTAAGAATGATGGACTTATTCTATGTAGTTCATCCTGTTGCAGACTTACATTATCAAAGCTTACGGCAGTGTCTAGACATGTACCAAACATAGAGGGCAAAGTCAGGAAGCATTACTATGACTCTGTGTGGGGCCGAATTCATAATTATATTGATGATTTTCTAACAGAATCTTCACTCGTTGCAGCTCAAACGGAGACACCGGACAAGTCTACTGTGCGGCATGTTTTACCGATGATCGTGACAAGGTCTGAGCTCCGAGGTGAGCTCAAGTGCGTCGTCACGTCTGCTGCATTAGACGAGCCTATAGTCAAGAGGGTAGTGCTCGACGTGAAAGGTAAGTGACGTCATTAACATTAAGTCATAGTCAAGGTTAATGTCAGTGAAAGTCTTCCGATTCTAACGCTTATGATCCAGCAAGAAACACTGCAGTCACTTGTATGTTAAGCCGCGTGACGGAACGACAACGCCACCACTAAAGGTATACGGAATAAATAGATTTGTTATGCAAAGCAAGCTCTTATTTCTGATGGGGTGGAATCGCCTAGTTCTAACTAGGTTTTATTTAACGCAGCGAATTGATTTTGGACCAAGATATTCAAAAATTTTGACCAATTTTCAAAAAGGTCAACGCATCTACAAATTTTCGGGTGTAGCCGATGTCCATGGGCGACGGTTTTCACTTAACATCAGGTGAACCGTCTGCTCGCTTGGCAACTTTTCACATAAAAAGGTTCCTGTACACTCATCATGAATGTGACACTGTTATTTTTTCTCCGTGGGTCGCACAAATAGTTGTACCGTGTGGGAATCGAACCCACGACCCCGACGCCGAAGCCAATACCTTAGTGACTGCGCCACGGAGTCATCATAACTAACTTCGTACAAAATTTATTGATCATATTTTTTCATATTTAACTTAAATAAAAGTAACAAAAACCATAAATATAATAAGTAAGCAAACACTCTTGAAGAATTATCAGTGTTTCATACAAGTAATCCTAAGCAAAAATCTAAATAATGACCCGTGGTACTATCAGTAGTAGGTCATTCAAAAACTTGTAATCAGCTTAACACGTATGACGTAATAAAGGGATTCCTTAAACTGTTAATCTCGTCTGCCCCCCCCCCCCCCCCCCCCCCCCCCCCCCCCCGATAACAATAATCAATCAGTCAGTTTTATGAAGACCAATTTAAAACTGAACGATTCATCAGCATTAGTGGAACATCTAAGCGCTAATTTCCTGGCAATGGCGCTCGACGACTTGGCGGTCTACGGTTTTTCGTTTTAATTTCGCGGAGAGATAAATTTTCATTAGGAGTGCGCTTGATACCGCCCTAATTAATGGGGATAATTACACGAGGACCGTCTTCGAAGAGATAAGGGCTGGCCGGAGGAGCTCTTTATTAGTTAATATTTTCTCGACCCATTCGGCGCGCTTTACGCCACCTTATTTGGATAATGCCGACCAAGGGTCCGATTACTGACGACATTGAGGGCTTTTTGCTAATCTTATATTTTTTTAAATTAATTAAATTTAATCACGCGGATGACTCCGTGGCGCAGTCGCCAAGGTATCGGCTTCTACGTCGAGGGCCGTGGGTTCGATTCCCACACGGGACAACTATTATGGGTGTTTGTTCGCTTGAAATTTATGTTTGTAAAAACGTTCTTACAACACAGGATAATGTTATCCCAAAGTAAGGGCAATGTTTTAGGTCGCTTGACCGAACTTGAAGGAAATCTCAAGAGATTTCCTGAGGTATATGATGGAAAAAGATGCCTTGCCCTTATTCCACCTAGGCGGGGTCGGCCTCATCATGCGAATATTGTAAGCTCTTTTGGCTATGTGTAGGGCCGCCTGCCCAACGTCAACAAACACCCAAATCCGGAACAATCATCTTTGGGTCATACATATACTTGTCCCGTGTGGGAATCGAACCCACGACCCCCAACGCCGAAGCAAATAGCTTAGCAACGGCACCACTGAGTCGTGTGGTATATGTCACACATTCGGCATTATTCATAGCACGTTATCGGAGATTTAAAAGCTCGCTAAAAATTGATTGTCAAAGAGTCTTATTCCTAATCGTTCTATGGCGATAAAACGTTAATTAACTCTCCGATAAAGTGTCTTTGGTTTAAACAAGCTAGGACCCTACTTTAAACCATCGACAAGCGATGTATTAGCGTAAAACATGGCTGATTTTGGTCAGCTGATTACCGACGTTTGCAATGACTTCTTCTCAATCATTCCACGCCGCCACCTTTGTTGCATTGGAGATCGGTTTGGTTTTTTTTTTTCGTTGATTTTCGATAACACGAACCCGCTAATTCACCAAATTAATCTTTCAAGATGATCTTAGAAAGCAATAACAGTACATTTTAGTAGGTGATGCATGTATGAAGATTACAGTGCGAAGTTCCAGACTTGCGAATATAACAAAGTTGTAACATCAACTTCATCTTCCACTGGACAATTTTCACTACTCTGCCTTTTTAGCATTCATGTTAAATCATTACAATAATTTATTTATTTTGTTAAAAAGACTACTAATAAAATAAATAACATCAGGAAAGTTGAACTTGACACGAATCACGATCAATATGTTTGACAGTTTGGCACAAGTCAAGATGCTATTTTTTTAATTTGTTGCGATCCATAGATAAAAGCTCGTGAAACCATTCTTATATCATTTAAATTTCATTCTTTTTCTACGAAATTTCAACATTATGTTCAATAAAGACATTTTAGTTATCGGAGGATTATCAAAAGATTATGAAAGATTTTTATCGAACGTTTGATACGCTTAAAAGAAGTTTTAACATTAGGTTTATACCTTCGATAAGAGTTTTATTATGAATAAGGCAGATTATGTACAATGCGTCAGATGAAGCTTTAATAGTCACGGGACTAAAAGCAAAAACATCAGTTAATACAAGATACAAGCGCCCAGACACTTTATGAACCATTATTCCATTTATAAACAACAACATTTTACTGTCGACTTTTCATTCTGAAGTATTAAAATTATCTCCAGATAAATGAGAAAACAGTTTTCGTAGGAACCTAATTATTTCTTCTACTATATTTATAGTACCTGGAGGACCGAGCTTTGCTCGGTTTGTTTTTTTTTTTTGTAAATCGTGTATTTTGGAAATTACATTTAGATACAAATTACTGAGTAATGGAAATATGCATAATATTTTTCGATCTTACCGACCTAATAATAAGAAAATATGAAGTGGTGTTTTTCACAAAAGAAACAACTTTAAAAAAAGGGAAAAAATAACAAAATCCTCTGGATCAACAAAAAATAAAAAATTAAAAAAGCAATGGTCTGGAATCGAAAAAAAAGTAAAAAAAAGAGTGTGTAAATTATCGTGACACGAACCACGGCCGTCTGTTTTGGGGCTGCCCGATTACCGACTAGCTATTATGACATTTTCTCTTGCGGCGAAATTTACCGTCATATTCGAATGATATTTTTCATTCCCTGAAAACAGGGATAAAAGGACATTTTCTAAAAATGAAACCTAGCTAAATCGATTTTTCGCCCCCGAATCTACGCACATACTAAATTTCATGAAAATCGCTGGAGACGTTTCCGAGATTCCGATTATATATATATATATATACACAAGAATTGCTCGTTTAAAGGATAAGATTTCTTCTACTGTGTTATTAAAACTTATCGTTAGAAATTCATCCACGAAAATCTCATCAGCGTAAAAATATTCAAGGCGTTTTACTTAATCTCGGTGGACAGTCGTCGGTCGCTCGAGTTCAGCATGATTTAGTGGAGCAATGATTCAGAATTAACTAGGGCCTCCCACCACTTTTTACTGGATTATCGTTATTGTATGCAAATTTCAGGGTCTCGCATGTTTCTAATTTATATCTACTCCATACCGCAACTTTGTTCAATCGATTATTAAAATCGCTGAACAGGTTTTGTCCCATGAATGGACTGGTTTCAATAATTACGTGAAATTAATGTTGAGAATAAATAATGTTTCACAATAAGTGCACAGATTATCACTATAAATATATTACTGTGAAATTATAAATATTTTTCCTTTAACTTGTGGTTTTCACAGCTCTTACGAATACGCGAAAGTATAATACTTTCGCGCATCGTCCGGTGAGTGAGGTAGCCGGAGCCCAATTTTCAAAAGGTTGTCAAAGCATCTGGAACCCTCGGGTGTCGCAGATGTCCATGGGCGGCGGCATTTACTTAACATCAGGCGAACCCTCTGGTCGCTTGGCAAATTTTCACATAAAAAAGCAATAAATCTATCAGATATGCTTCTATTCCTTGGAATTAAAGACAAGAACAATTGTATATTTCTCATTTATTTCTAATCAAAGACGAAAACAATTGACAGTAAGCTGCGTTAATAAAAAGCACGGAGATAAATGCTGTCACAGTGACAAATGGTTATCTGGACACCCGACTACCGTGACACGGCCGTTTTTCACTTTGATATCCACTCACCGGGCGATGCGGTCACCGATTGAGCTGTCAATCAGACGTCACGCCGAATACAGCGTGACAAGTTTCGACGTGACACAGGCTTAACCGAAACAAGACCCACGTCTGACTTGTAATACGTATACAGAGATAGTTAAATGTTCATGGTTATAGCCTTTAACTTTGAACCGTGTGGACCAAAATATCTAACACAACAAGTTCGATTATGCAAGAATAATTTTGAAGAAAGAGATATTCAGGCATAGGTTACGGCATTAAATAAATAAATAATAAAAATAAAAATATCTTTATTCACATAGACGCTTGCGCGTTCTTATGAAACGTCGAAATTTTACAAGAAATTAACACGTTCGTAAGTTACCACCGGTTCGGAAAGCAGTTTCTGTTGAGAAGAAACCGGCAAGAAACTCAACAGTTGCTCTTTTTAAAAAAATCAGTTTACAATATAATAGTACATGTACAATAGTCTTGTTTTAGCCTACGTGAGTATCAACAGTATTAACCCCACACATTGGCGTCGTCAAGATATTCGGCAATAGAATAATAGGCTTTAGCCATAAGTTTACTTTTTATTTTTATTGCTTCTTTTAGGGCATAAATATTGCTATAATTTATTTAAATCTATTTTTTTCCAATATAATACATAATAAAATAGTTATTCAATAAATGTAATAATAGTAATAAATATAGGTCAAGGACATATTTATGCAATTTGACAGTGACATTTACTCTCTTATTTTTCTCTTGAACATAGCATCTATAAGTTCTATTACATTTATCCATATTATGTTTTTTAGTTTTGTGTTAAAATATAAATAATATCTTAATTGAATTGAAGCT